AGGGGTCCATCGGATACGGCACGAAACATAAGGCAGCACTCTTTTAAGACACTCAGAGATCTATTGCAAATTGCGGTGCGTAAGCAAGGACCTAGCTTGTGTGGAAGATTCTTGTAGTGGCTAAGTGGCGAAAAGAATCTCGAAAGACTGATCACATGTGGACCTCATTTTCGACGCCCTCGATGATGTGAATGGCATCAGCATGACAGGTTGCGGCAACCAGAGAGTTCGGACACCAAGATACGCTTATCCATTTTTTGACATTTGTTGGGGAGAAGAGAGACGTTATTGGGAAATTGCCCTCTACGTCATCCTCGGGGGGTTGTATCAACTCCGAAGTCAGTGGACGGGGCCAAGGCGCTGAGTCAGGTGAGGAAGCTCCCAGGTCCGCCTGGTTATAAAAGTTTGAGTAGAAAGGTGAATCATCACATTCCATTTTCAGTTTGTAAGTTCCGGTACCAGACATAGATCTATCGATAATGCGCACTTCATCCTGGTAGGAACCGGTAAAAATATATCTGGAAAGCAATGTCAAGCCTAATATGAAAGATTTTACCGATCATCCGAAGAGAGGGATAACTTGAAGTCGTCGAAAAGCAGCTCTGTTTCACATATGCTGTTTAAATAAGGCCGGAGGTGAGACTGCACGGGATAAACTTCAACAGGGGCTGATGGCATTGCAAGGTCCCAGACTATAAAGAAGCATTAACGTTGAAAAAGTAGTGTACCTTTCACGGTCATAAAGTCACGTGTAACGAGGTGGCGATCAGAGTTGTTAAGAAATTTCACGTCGGCAATGGAGTTCAGAAGAATTAAAACCATATTTTGCTCAGTAGAAGGTAGGTTGTCCACAGCTGCAAAAAAGCGATGCAATTAAAACAATTAACGTACATATCGCTGGTTGATCACATAGCGCAGCGGCTCGCAGATCGCAAACACGAACAGATCCTCTATTCGTGCTGTAAGCAAAGAGAGAGGGAGTTTTCGGGGAGGTCGTCAGACTAGTTATTAAATGAGTAATATCTTCAATTCGGTCCGGCATTAGATCCACAATAGCTGTAACGACAAGAGTCAAGGAACAAAATCGGCTTCAACAATATAGTTAAAGTCAATTAATAATCAATAGCCAGTGGCACAAATGAATCAATAACGATGCCAGTGAAAGTACGCTGATTCGGGTAACGAGTTTTCTAACCGCCGGCTTTAAAGGTACAAGTGCCTTCGAAAATTTGCATTATTAAATTGACTTTAGAAATTAAGGGGACAGGAAAAATGAATTGAAAGCAGACGCTGACGCGGATGCTCGCTTGCTATCTTTTGCGTTACCAGTGCAGGCAGTGTTTCGTTAAGGCAGACAGTGTTGACACCATGGTTGACTTAATCAAACGAGCCTTGACCATCTAGAAAGCGAACTCGATGAATAGTTAAGTATGTGAAAGCATAAGGCTGCCGAAGTTCACGAGCTTACAGTTCGAGAGCAAGGCATAAACAACAAAAGGCATAACAAAATAACAAAGAGCAAGTGAACTATCACACGTTTCTCTTACGGCGGAAAATACTTTATTTTTTTCTGTATAGCCTCTTTAAGTTTGACAACATCCTTGGATGAATTTGGGGTTCGAACTACATTAATAGGTCTAAGTAAAAGGCAAAAAGACTTTAAAAAGTATAAAAAAGTGAGCATCGGCAACTAAAAGAGTCAGGCAAACCTAAGTTACTAGATGAGACGGCAAAAACTCTGACTTGGTCAGCTGGGCACTGCCTGTTTATGTGGAACGTAAAGAAAAGACGCAAATAATTAATGTGTTTTACCGCAGTGCACATCAACTCTCTAAAATTATTTCACGGTACGCTGCATTATTATGGATAATGACCGAGCCGAGCATATGATCATGGAAAACAGTTGATTGTGATAGATACTACCGCATGGTCCTGTGAAAGGAACGAAACGCCACCGTCGGTGGTAGAAGGTAAGAATTTTCTAAAGGGTACCCGGAGCTTTCAGTGAGACTAAAAACGCACAGGTGTGTTGAGCACATCATTGAGTAAATGATTACTGCGCAGGCAAGACATGTTTACCGTCGTGCAGCATTTCATATCTGGGTGTAACTAGGAAGGTTACTTATTGAGGCACTTATAAAAATTTGGTAGCACTATACTGGGTTATACAGTTAACGTGGCGCACAAGTAAAGCGCCGTTAAATGGTTGCAGCAAATCTCGTCGTCATGGGGGTTAGTAGGTTTATTCACACCAAAGGCTGGCTAGT